TAAAACCAGAGTAATGAGAAAATGAGACTAGAATCTGGTTAAACTGGTGGAGTTACACACATGTGCTGGTGTAAATCTGGAGTAACTACAGTGGAGTTTTACTGTTTTAAAAGAGGTGTGAATGAGAGGAGAATTCAGCCCATGATCTTCTCCTACAAAGAAAAATAAAGTTTTACCATTAACAACAACAGACGAGCCAGCCCATTTGTGTCTGCTTTCTTGAGAACGCACTTCTGCCTTCCCCTTTTATAAAGTACCAGTTGTATGTGATAGTCTTGTAGAAGCATAAGTGAAAGCTATCAGTGACTAACCAGTTTAGATCTTAGCATTACCTTCCCCACTGCAATCAACTGGTGCAATGAACAAATAGATGCAGTATTGTGAAAGCGCAGAGGGGTTGGCCATGAAACAGTAGAACATATATTGACTGTAACTACTCCCCAGAATATTAGATTTCATCTTGGAAACACTAATGCATAGTAAGCAGGCCAGGTTTCTCCTACCATGACAGACTCCCTTCTTTCAAACCTAGTCAATATCAATGTACAATTTCATGATATAAGATTTCAAAATGGGGACAACACCTGTGAAATACTGAAGTGTATTGATGAAGATGATACAGAATCACTGAGGAATCATGACACTGCTCCCAAACTAGCATTGATCCACTAGACCTTTAAAGATCATTTTCATTGTTCCAAATCACTTCAGTGTCTTTCAGTCAAACACCATGCGGGTGTTTTTATTATCTCTGCAAGAAGTATCAGCTGTGGCATGGCCTTTTCATGCAAAGGCCACTTGAGAGACACTGTATTAAGAGAGCTAAATACACACAGTGGCAGTCTCTGAGCTCAGAAAAATGAATGACACCAGTTGTTGTACAGTAAGGCCCTTCATAGGACAGGTTTGTGTATGCTGGGTGAAAGTTTGGTGCAGTTGCAGATTCATGGCTGTATATAAATTCTTAAAAAGAATGGGGAGTACTCGTGACACCTTAGAGACTAACAAATGTATTAATAAATTTATTTAATAAATTTGTTAGTCTCTAAGGTGCCACAAGGATTCCTCGTTCTTTTTGCTGATACAGATTAACACGGCTACCACTCTGAAACCTATAAATTCTTAAGAATTTTCAGCATTAAGAGTGAAATCCAGCAGCTGAAACTACTGGCCAAATGGGTTTCAGTTTTGGGGTTTGTTCTCTGAAGTGGAATTAGTTCTGGTTTGAAAGTTCTGATTGACAGCTCTGGGGACAAGTCCTTTGTTCAGCTCCAGGTAAAGTACAGGCAGAACCAGACAAGTTTCACTCATACTCCCAAATAGACCTGAACCCTGACATGGTGAAAAGCATAGGCTGAGATTTCAAAGAAGCCTAAGGAAGTTAGATGCCTAAATCCCAATAAAATTCAATGGGAGTTGGGCGCTTTGCTCCCATAGGTTCATTTAAAAATCACTGTCATAGCCCAGACTCTTGTGGCTCACTTAGTTCTTATCTTGTCTTCTGAGGCAGCCAACAGGGGTCCAATTAACGGCCTTGTGGTGATATGAAGAGCTACTTATTAGGGGATGGGCCCGAGACCCAAAACATTTCACACAGTCCACTTTTTGGTCACCACCATGCTGCTGTGATCCAGAGGGGAACATTTCTGTCCCTTAACTTTGGATTTTGAATACAGTCATGAATGAAACCTTCAGGGCAATGTTCAGCATCAACAAAACTTGGGTTCTGAATCAGAACTTCTCTGAAGTTCAAGAGCATTTGGATCTGGAGCTCCAGTTTGGGACCATCTCTGTTAAAAAGTCCCCTGGAGGTAAAATGCAACAAAACCAGCCATCAGCCTCTCAGAACTGCCAGAGAGACATTGTAAAGTATGGCTACAACACTACATGTTTTAAAGTGAGTGACATTGGGGCAAGTCGGACTGTCAAACGTGGGGTCTGTAGACTCTCACAGATTCACTGTAAGGTTTGTTTAGTTCATCACTCTTGTACTTTAAGATTGGCTAATGGGTAATGGAAATCTTGAGGTATAGCTCTTATTCCCCTGTTCACTAGCCAAGCAATAAGATTCTAGTTAGCAGGCTGGGCAGCAGCTGGGAGGCAGCATTGTAAATGATGTAGTTGTGGGAAGAAGTTGAATGGTGAAGCCAAAGAGTAATAGCAGTATGGAGGGAGGCGAGTGCTGACAGCAGCAGTGAGAATGAGAGAGGAGTCTGAAGAAAGAAAGAACCAGAGAGAGACAAAGAGAGAGCTGGAGTGAGAGAGATGCAACAAGCTCAGCTTTTGTGGGAGCAGCATCTTGAATTGCTTTGCAGTGACTCTCTCCGGTTGACCCACAAGAAGCATTAAAAAGCTCCCAAAAGATCTGCGACCAACCATGGTTGGTTAGTAGGATGGGTCTGGCCAATACTATAGGACCAGGGTGAGGCAAAGAGATGAAGGGGAAAATAAGGGAAAGAGGGTATTGTCCCTTTGAAAAAAACACAGTGAGATAACTTCTTTGGGGGAGTGGATAACCAAATTCTGAAAAATAATCCCAGCAGACTGAGTGTGAAACCACTTATATAGTACTGAAGTCCCTGTGGAACCCTCTGAAGGCTGGTCACTTCACTGGTAGAAAGTGTCCTGAGAAGAGTCACTTTGCCAAGCAAGAATGTAAAGTGTGTTAGGGGCTAATTTGTTCCATATCAACAGCTGCACTGGTATGATAAGACAATGACCACTGAGTGTTCCCATAGTATCTCCAGTGAACCACTTTCCCCGTGCTGACAATCAGAGCTCTGAGCAGAGCCTTTACTCTATAATTTGGAGGTAATATTTTAGCACCCATTTCTGATGTGCTGCATCACTGATTATGCTTGGGAGTAAGCAGCTGTCATCTTCTCTTCTATATACAGAAGTATGGCTTTTTTGGGTCAATTGTACTGCTGTTTTGAAATAAAATGTAAGGTTATTTCAGGATGAGTAATACATTCATTGATGTTATGTTACACAGAGCATGTTAAAAAGAGTTACTTTGTTTTGTTTTTTAAAGAGTGTAAAGTTTTAAAAAATGTGGTTACGAGACTGGATTTCGCTCAGTATTGGGGAACATAGGTCTTTCAATTAAGCCCTGAGTGGGACACCTACAGTTCATTTCCCTACTGTTTAGAGCAGAATTCTCTTAAAATGGGTCACTCTGGGAGAGAGACTCCTGTGCTGATCTGTGTAAAGTAGGATGAATTTCAGCCACATCAGATTGTCCTTCTGCTTGATCACAGATGACAAGGTATCTAACTCCCAGAATATAAGTTTCCCTTTGAGATTCCTAGTTCCAAGAGGAACCAGCAATGGAGGTGCTTCATGTGTTTAAAGATAATAACATTCAAGATCATTTGTCCATGAGAAATTCATTCGCTACACAGAAGTAACACCACCATGCCTCAACAAGAGTATTTGCACAGTGTCTTCCACGTGTGGCTTTGCTCCCGTCCCCTAGCCTGCCTTCTAAATCCTGGGAACTCACTCATTCTGAAGGGTGCTAATTAAGAAACACTGAGTTGCTAGCCACAGAGTTCAAGATGAGATGTTATTATTTGTTTGCTCTTCTATACCTCTCTGCATGGATCTACCTCTCAATGCCATTGCCTACATCTATGCAAGCTGAGTTGACTTGTAAATTTGATGGCATACATTTAAGCAAGAGAGGGATTGCTTGAACTGAACCTAATGGTAAACTTTCATTAAGCCCTCTTTTGGTTTACATATTTTGATCCGCATCCCTGACACAACAAAGTCTTTTCCAACCAGACAAAACCAAGAGGACTCACCATCTCCCAGCAGGACTGACCTATCCTGCTACAAGCTTCTGAAGGTTTTTTTGCCCCTTTGAAATACATAGGACGTAGGATTCTTAATTGTATCCCGTTGATGTACTACTTGTTAACTGATTTTTATTTTTCAAAACATAATCAGAAATATTAAGCGAGTGCAAGAGAGTGTAATGAATTACCATGAAGTAAGAACAGATTATAGAGCAAATTTAGAGCTTTTGGTTGGAACTACGCTGGTAGCTAAATCAGAGAGTTGGGAGTGAGCCCAAACAAGCATATATAAAGCAATCCTACTGTTGAGCATTTGACTTGTGTAAAAACAATTGGTCAATTGGCCAGTCAAATATTACGAAATAATGTAAAAAATGGTCAAATATTTTAAAGCATTAATTTATTAGTACAGTAACAACAGTAACAAAAAAGAGCAAGACATTATGGTCGGCAGTAGGCTTAGCATTGGATTCTTATGCCTAATTACAAAAAATAAGTTACTTAACCAAGGTACTTTAACTCAGAAAAATACAAAACAATGAAGTTCTAAAAAAATTAAAGAATGACACCATCCAAAAGGTAGGCTGCTGCCTATATCAGGACATTCTTGGAATATTTGACAATATTTCATGATGGCCAAATAATAAATAAGTGATCAACTGACATTATTTGACTAGTCAATTGACCAGTTTGCTAAGCCTATGCAATCTATCCTTTCAACTCCCCAGCAAAAAAAATCCCAGCATCAGAAAAGATCATTCCAATTCCTTCATCATACAGGTAAAACAACTAACAAGAACTTTATTTTGATCTGAAGACTCTGAAAAGAACTAGGAAATATGGTATCATCTCCACTGCAATCCATCATCTCCTCCAACAGAGACAGCTGCAGGAAATATCTGCACTCTTCAGCTGTCTCAACTGAACCACCTGCAGAGCAGTGCTAAAGAAGTGCTTGCTAACTTGAAGACCAACTCAGGAAAGAAACTGAATCCAGCCTGAATTATGTATAAATCTCAAGGGTGTTTGGTTTAAGGTGGCTGTAGAAAAATAAAAGGGAACTGCTCATGTCGATCTATACCTGGCCATCCCCTGCTGATATCCACCAGACACCTTTACTGACTTGACTTTGTTTTTACTGATAGCTCTTATGCAACAAGCTGTAATAAAAGTCTGAAAACAAAATGAGATACTTACCCGCCTTCAAAGATCTTGATCCTGGCTGGCTCCCCTCTTTTGGAAATGGGAGCCTCTTCTTCTGATTTGCCTCTTTTATCCTCTTCCTTCTCAGCTCTAGTTAAATCTTTTCGACCTTCATTGGAAAGGAGTGAAGGCAAATGAACCTATCTCCCCAAAAGAGCAAAACAATCATTTGTTACATTTCAAATGGCTCTAACAAACACACAGACCATATACACTGGGTTCCCTCAGATAGAGAAGTTTCAGAGTAGTAGCCGTGTTAGTCTGTAGAGAAGGCAACCTACCACATGTGGTACTGACTATGATGATTGTACCTTGTATCTATGACTTACATTTTCAAATATGCTCTCAAATTCTGGATCTTGTCCTCTGTTTGATATGTCTTATTTAGACTGAACTTTTAAGGGTGGGGAATGTGTTAAAGTACCATGTAAATTAACAACAATTTACATATTTTATTGTAAAAACAATAATTATTAACAAATATTTAAGAATTACATCCCTCTTGTAACGTGGGTCTATACAGTTATCTTCATTTCACAAATCTGAAAACTGAGGCATAGACAGATGAAGTGTCTTGTCTAGGGTCACTCAGTGAGTCAGTGGCAGTCGGGAATAGAAATCAGGAGACCTCTAAACTTTGTATGAACCGATGGATACTGAAAGCTCTTGGGTGACTTCCTTTCAAGAAGAACAAAGCTAGCCAAGGGCTCGGCACCCTCACCGCCACAAATATAATGCCAACAAAACCTGTTTCTCCTTCTCCCCCGAGAGATTCTAAAAGTGAAGTTTTCTCTTCTTCCCACTGCTAAGCATGAGGCCCTTTGCTTTGTCATACACCCAAGCATAAAGACAGTCACACAGTGACATGCCATTTAGCGGGACTGTAAATCCTTATGTTTACACCATGCAGATTTAAACCTTAGTTCTGTGCTCTGTGACTCAATCTGTTCTAAGAAGAGCAAGACTCTGCATCTGGACCTCGTTATGCTACTTCAAGGAGCTCTGCATGACATTACATTTTGGTGACATGACAAAGTTATGAGTTAACAAAACATTTTCTTTCACATTATCCACAAAGGTTTGAAAGAGCAAGGCAAGTTAGCTTTCACCTGAACTACATTTACTCTGTGTACACAGCAGCACAGAGTGACTTCATTTTGTGGATATTGCCATTTCATGCTCAATGTATCATCCATTAGCATTAAACTGTGTCCCAGATGACCAACAGTTTACTTCTTGGGGGAAGGTTGGGGGTGGCTTGTGAGAAGTTTCACTATGGTATGTTATTGCAAACTACCATCGGATTACTAGACAGAGGAAGGAAAATCTACCACAGAGAAGTGATATAACACTTGGCAAATCACTTAGGCCAAAGTTTTCAAAATTGTCCACTAATTTTGTGAGTCCAGCTTGAGACACTCAGCCTACATCTACACAGCAAAAAAATCCCCACAGCACTGAGTTTCAGAGCCTCGGTCAACTGACTTGGGCTTCTAGGGCCCATGCTGTGGGGCTAAAAATAGCAATGTACATATTCGGGCTTGGGCTGGTGCCTAGGTTCTGAAAGCCGAGGGTCTCAGAGCCCAGGATCCAGCCCAAGCCCAAATGTCTACATTACTATTTTCAGCCCAAGAGCACGGGCTGTAGGAGCCCAAGTCAGTTAACCCATGCTCTGGGACTCACAGCTGCGGGGATTTTTTTGCTGTGTAGACGTACACTTAGGGTGCTGAGAACCTAATGAAGTCAGTGGGAACACAGATGATCAGCACCTTTGAAAATCAAACCTTAGATGTCATGATTTGAACATCCAAAGTTAATGAAACTTTTCTGCAAGTTTTCACCTTAACTTTTTCTATGCCCCAGTTTCACCATTTGTAAAAGAACAGTAATAATATATGCCATCACAAATGTAGCGTTAGGCTTAATATATCAATGTTTTTGAAAGGGCAAGATATAAATGGACAGATGGAAGGCCCTAGACAGATGTAAAATAAATTATACAGTTGCTATTTTACTATTATTGCATATCATTTAGAAAGTGTGCATGCTCACTAAGCAGTTTAGCTAGTCATGAAGCTATTTGCAGAGCAGTCTACTCTTGCTTCAAACTTCACCAGCTTGGTAAATCTCCCTGAGACTGAAAAATCAAGCCAAGTCTGAACACCGTAAGCAATGTACTACAGCTTACTAGTAACTGACTGTATGTCCCATTGTATTAAAGACTATGGTTTATATTAACTTTTCTATTGTATTACCTGACAACGTATAGTTATATAAAGAGGATTTTTAAGGAAAATAATTACAAAGGTGCAGACTGAAGCCTGAACTTTCAGCCCCTTGACTGAGGCAATTGGAACCCAGCTATTGTTGACCACAACTTCCTGGGTAGCCAGGAAACTGTCCCTGGGAATCTTTCTCAATAACATGTAAATGAGCAGGCTTTAGAATTTCACTCCTACTGAACATTTGATTAAAAATCACTTTTTTTCCTCCATTGAATTAAATACGATTTGTGCTAATACTATCCCATTTAAGCAGAGGTTACTAATATAAACTAAGGCAAGCCATTTTCTCAGAAGACACATCAATAAAGCAGCCATCCCAATTTAGTGTGTCCCAGCTGAACACAGTAAACTTAAAAACATATTTTACACATACACAGCACCTTTCATCATGACACATTTTACAAATATATACATACACCACCAGGACATGGTAGCGGCTTTGGAGTGGGATACATATATAAGAGAGAGCACAACAGTGCAGGGAGGTGAATTTTGTAGATACACCAGGGCAAATCCCCTACTCTTGCAAAATGCATCATGACCACTTTAATATCCACCGGGGCTTTCTTTTTAAGGTTTTGGCAAAAAGATCTTTAATCCATTTGGGGGAAACCGCATGTAATGAAATATCTCTGTCTTGAGGATTGAGAGTTGTGTCATCCCTGTCTAGATTTTAACCTATGATTACAGGGAAACCAGATATTTTAAACCTGATGTGTAGGTCATCTTTCCCAGCACAGCCTAAAAGCACTACTCTGTGTATGTGAGAACCCACAGCCCATGTCAAAGTCAACCGGAGGGTGGGTGGCTCAGCATTTCTCAGAATGAGGCCCATAGTTGGTAATATACATTAAGACTCTTTGGGAACAAAGATGCAGTATAAGGGTAAAGTATTTGTTATTGTTATTATAACACACATAGTGAGTGTCTCCTGGTTCCTTGAAATCATGTCTTGGGGGTTTCTGCAGGATATTGATGGAACTGCTGAAAAGAAATATGGTAACTCTGGTGTGTAATTTAAGACATATTTATAAGCAGCAATTGCAGCTGACATTACAATAAATTCAATCTTCAGAGTTCATTTTGCGATTCAGAGATAAAACAAACAATCCGGCAATACAAATTGGGTTGAAATGACTACCAAATTGCAAAAATTTCAGAGCAATTCTGTTTGCTAATCTGTACAATAATGACCTGGATTAGGGATTTGTATAGTTCGGTATTAACTGAAAATAGTATGTGCTATGCTCTGGAATCCTCCTTCCCCTCCCCGCCACCAAAATGAGAGGGAAAGCACCATGTGGTAACCAATAGCTTCTCCCAGACCCAGAGGCCCACATGGCGTCCCACTGACTTAAGTGGAGCTCTGCACAGTCACCGGGCTCTGCCCCTGTGAAGCAGCTTGCATGACTGTGGCATGGTGGGTTAAGAATATAAAACAGGTTTGTCTTACTTTTAACTCTTTTCAGGGTTTAGGGTCAATTTTACAGAAGTATTTAGGCCCTTAAAGATGCAGATAGGCACCTAGTGGCATATAAGGACCAGAGTGAATCATAGAATCATAGAATATCAGGGTTGGAAGGGACCCCTGAAGGTCATCTAGTCCAACCCCCTGCTCGAAGCAGGACCAATTCCCAGTTAAATCATCCCAGCCAAGGCTTTGTCAAGCCTGACCTTAAAAACCTCTAAGGAAGGAGATTCTACCACCTCCCTAGGTAACGCATTCCAGTGTTTCACCACCCTCTTAGTGAAAAAGTTTTTCCTAATATCCAATCTAAACCTCCCCCACTGCAACTTGAGACCATTACTCCTCGTTCTGTCATCTGCTACCATTGAGAACAGTCTAGAGCCATCCTCTTTGGAACCCCCTTTCAGGTAGTTGAAAGCAGCTATCAAATCCCCCCTCATTCTTCTCTTCTGCAGGCTAAACAATCCCAGCTCCCTCAGCCTCTCCTCATAAGTCATGTGTTCTAGACCCCTAATCATTTTTGTTGCCCTTCGCTGGACTCTCTCCAATTTATCCACATCCTTCTTGTAGTGTGGGGCCCAAAACTGGACACAGTACTCCAGATGAGGCCTCACCAATGTCGAATAGAGGGGAACGATCACGTCCCTCGATCTGCTCGCTATGCCCCTACTTATACATCCCAAAATGCCATTGGCCTTCTTGGCAACAAGGGCACACTGCTGACTCAAATCCAGCTTCTCGTCCACTGTCACCCCTAGGTCCTTTTCCGCAGAACTGCTGCCTAGCCATTCGGTCCCTAGTCTGTAGCGGTGCATTGGGTTCTTCCATCCTAAGTGCAGGACCCTGCACTTATCCTTATTGAACCTCATCAGATTTCTTTTGGCCCAATCCTCCAATTTGTCTAGGTCCTTCTGTATCCTATCCCTCCCCTCCAGCGTATCTACCACTCCTCCCAGTTTAGTATCATCCGCAAATTTGCTGAGAGTTAAGTGCCTAACTCCAATTGATTTTTCAATGGGAGTTAAGTGCCCAAGATGTTTAGGTGCTTTAGTAAATCCTATTACGTGCCTATCTGCATCTTTAGGGTCCTAAATATCTTTGTAAATCTGGCCCTGAGTACTTTTGAGTGTTCAGATACCATGGTGATGACTGTGGGATAGGTAGGTAGACTTACAGATGGAATCCCATTACCTAAAACATCCGTACCTATACACGAGTTTGTTTTTTATTAACATTTCACAAAATAAAAAAAAATGATAACTTTTATAATTTTTTTTAAACATTGAAATATCAAGGCATCAAGGCAAATATAAGTGTCATCTTTTGTGCTTAATACTGGTAGTTCAACGTAAGGAGGCGATCACATACTGCTCTGCTGATTGCCAGACAAGTAGACACAGAATTTTATAATATCGTGCCATAAAGCAGCTTTGCCAATGTCTTTTGGCTAAGAGCGTGTTTTGCGTTGTTACGCACTCCCACTGTCCCACGGAGGGTAAGCATTCACCAGGATGAGAAAGAGATGCACAAGGAGCCCCTACTAAATTAAGACCTCTCCTCCCTCCATTTCTGCCCCCCCGCCCACATAGATAGGAGGAAAGCCAACACTTTTCTTACCTCTGTCATTTTTGGCTTCCTGGAGCTGGACGGCACAAGCCTGCCTGTCTCTGGACGTGGAGCAGTAGCCATGGTATAGATTTCTTTGCACACCTTCTGCTTGGATCTCAGGAGTGAGAGGGCTGCTTTAGTAGATATACCTGGGAGGTTGGGATTATACAAGCTAATGCACCAGCTGGCATACACTGAGGACCTTCCGTCGACTTGCTGGATGTGATTTGGCTTTATGTAGTTTAAATAGCACCAACTGACATTAGTAGTTGTGTGGAGACTGGGGAACTGAAGTACCTTCTTCAGATCTGTACCTTCTCGAGACTTCATTGCACTTTGCGTGACGTCGAAATGAGGCGCTGGGCTCGGAGGATTTGGTAGGGGGTGTTCTGCTAGCTCTTTGGAGTCTTCCTTCTTTACTGTTTGCAAAGGTGTCTTGCTTCGGAACTGCTTGCCAGCGTGTGGTGTGTATTCCTCCAGTGCCTCAAAGCTCGAAGCACCTGAATGTGGCAAGGCTGGTGGCATAATACTTGGGATTTCCTTTGGCTCAGACTGCTTTGAGGACAAACTAGGTGGAGTTTCAACCTCAAGTCGGCCTTGGCTCTCTGGCAGAAAGTGAGATATATCCTGCTTTTTCCCCTCCTCTATTGCACTGGACGGCTTCACCACTTCCAACTTTTCTTCCACTTCAGAGACTTCCTCCTCTTTCACTCTTTTCTGCTGCTGTGTTTCCATCGTCAGCTCCAAGCTACCAGCTGGAGAGAGCATCCGCTTGCTTCCACCAACTGTTGATGAGCCTCCTTCCAATCCCAGGACACTTTCTGATGGGGAGGTGAGTGGCATATAGCCCTTCCTTTCTGGTAATGGCAATGGCACTCTGAGATATGGAGTCTGGAAGATGCTTCTTTGATCCTCTGTGATCATCTGTGCCAAATCGAAGCCTATTCCATGAACGTCAGAGCTGCACACCAGGGCACCTTTGGGTTGGCGATCATCAAACTTTGGAAGGACAATAGAAGATGGACTACACTGGGACTGAGTGACTAGGATTTGAGAAAGAGTAGTATACATTGCACTCCCATAGGTTGGCATGTTAGTCTGAATGCGAACGGGGACTACAAGTGATACCATAGGAGCCGGACATGTAGGAACCATCAGCTGAGATGTGGAGACTGAGGCTGAAGGGCTGGTTGTGCTGGTCAAAGGATGTAACCTGCTGTCAGAGCTGTACTCTGTGCATGGAGAAAGGCTGGAGGCTCCTGCTGGTGGAGAGACACTGGATTTGATCTGTGGTAAATGGCCACCAACCTCACTCGGCAACTGGAGAGCAAACGGAGACTGTAGAGGTAGAAAAAATGCAGAAGGGAGCGGTGAGGAGCCTGGGTAATGGACAGGTAAGAATGAAGCGTGCTGCCTGTATGGTACTTCTGCTGGATGTGACATTAATGGAGGGACAACGTGAAGCTGGCCTGGGTGGAGAAGAGCCTGCTGAAGAGGAAGTGGTGGTGTCTGAAATATAGAGGGAGGAATCTGTGGCATAGGAAATTGAGCAGAGAGGATGTCGGACACAGTATGAGTGGAGAAGAGCTCTGCAGACTGTCCTGGCTGCGGCAGAAGGTGCTGGAAAGGGAAGAGAGATACTTGTGGGGACATACGCTGTTTTTCATGCAGTGCTAGTTGTGGCATCGGATGATGAAACACCTGCAGAGCCTCAGAGTATGGCTGGCTGTACACAGGCTGAGGGCTATCTTTTGGCTGACTCTTATCACCATGTGGGGATGAGGACAATGAAGATGTAGGCTGATGGGGCAAACTGGTGGCAGGAGATTTACTGGAAGAAGGCAATAGTTCTTCTGTCTCTTGCCTTCCTTTTGGGGCTGAGTCTGGCTCATGCTCTGGATGACTGGTAAGAGATGCTTGCCTAACCAGAAAGCACTTCCTCCTCTCCTGTGGAGCCGAGGAAACTGAAGGGCCAGGTATTGAAGCAGAAGAGGATGACAAGCTTCCATAGTCAAATGATTTACTACGGGGCTCCGACATCTGAGAAGGATGAGACACATTAGGGGTCTGCTCAGAAGCAGATCTTCGCATTTCCCTGGAATGATGATGGTGGCTTGGTACCATTAACATATGTGAGCCAATGCCAAGGGGTTTAGTATGGGATTCAGAGGGCTGGCTGACAGCCTCGGATTTACTGTATTCTTCACGATCAAATGAAATGGAATGGCTGGAGCCATGGGATATACTACTTTCCTGACTTGGACTTCTCGTCAGGGAGACGGACTCAAAACTGGACTCTCCAGAAGACTGAGCCATTTCTGCCAGCCGCAGCCTTTTCTTTTTTGGCGGGAGTTTCTCGGCAGGAAGTTGGGAGAGAGTTTGGCTTCTCTGAGGCCACTGAAATTCCTCAGTTTTTTCTGGCTCTTTAGGAGGTGGCTCAGGCTCGGTTTCAGGTCTATCAGGCTCTTCAGTGACAAGAATCTCAGGGACCTGGATGTTGGGTTGGCGTACCAGCTTTGGCTGCAGGGAATGAGGTGGCCTATTGTGCTGCATTGCTGGCTGAGATGAGTACTGGGTTAAAGGTTTTTCTTCTGCTTCCAAGCCACTCAGCTGTTCTATAGAATCAGACTTCTCGAAGGAACTTGTATGCTGGATGACAGAGATCTCTTTTGAAGTTTTTCTTCTCTCTTTGCTTTCTGTACTAGAAACTGGCTTTGTAGTTCTGGAGAGAAAGCCAGCACTAATTTCAGTGAGCGGGATGGCTTTACCTGTATCAGCTGGTGACTTAATGGACTCACGGGGTAAGTTCAAAGCAACATCCGATGATGCTGGGTTAGCAAACTGACTTACTGGCCTCATGCTGGATGAGGGAGTTTCAGGCAACTCAAAAGCTGGAGGGTCCTCATCGTCACCAAGGCTCTTTTCTTTTCGTCTTTTTCTGAGTGGAGTAAGCTCTAAACTGGTCCCCAGCTTGTAATGCATCATCTGCGGCCATGTATCAGGATCCACAAGACTTTTCTCAGCTTCTGAAGAGGTATGGGAACTGGAAGAATGAGGCTTTGAGATCTGAAGTTCTGAACAGTAATATTTCTTATGCGCTTCATAATTATCCCTTTTCTTGTAGCGAGCACCACAGATATTACACTCATAAATGAACCCTTTAACTTTCGGACCCTTCCTTGACTTTCTCGTCAGATCACTTTCCTTGATTTCTTGTTCCTCGGCAGGTTTGGAAACGGTTTCTTTGCTTACTGAGCTAACCTCCTCTGAACCATATTCCATTCCCAAAGGTAGCTCAATAGCTGGTTGTCGTTTTAGCATTCGAGGATGTGAAGAAAACACTTGACTGCGGCTTACGACATCAGATTCCATGATGTGGTCATCAAATGAATAACTACCTCTAAAGGTCTGAGGGGAGCTTATAGTGCAGGCAGCAGAAGGCATTGAATGGCTTCTTAGGAGAGGCACTGTCTCTGTGGCACTGTGGGATTGCTGAAGGGATAACAATGATTGTTCAGGCTTAATTTTTTCACCATGAGATGTCAATGATTTTGATGCATTCAACTGGCTACTGGAACCAGACTTGCTGTCAAACTGAAATGGTTCTCTATATGCACCAGACTTTGGAGATTCAATGCTGCTACGTCTAGATAAAGAACTTCTTCTAGGCTTCACACTATCTATTTCACTGGTATCTACAACAGCTTCATTAATTGTAATTAGCTTAGTGATGTGTTCAATAACCTGTGTTCTGGGCACAGACAATGGTACCATGCTAGGCTTATCTTCAGTGGACACGTGTGGAAACCCCTGGGTTGTGGTCGCAGCTAACATTGCTGTCCTTTGCCCAATTCTCCCACATTTCCCAAAAATAATTTCTGCATAAGATTTTGCATTTGTATTTGGTGGGCTGATTTGTTGTTCTGCACTTTCTGATCGCGAGAAGTAGCCTGACTCTGTACTTCCTTTACTGCCAGGGCTAAGGAACGCCTGCTCATCTATCACCTTCTTCCTTTCACTTAATCGGAGTGCAAGCTTCTGTTTTATAGTATGTGTATCTTCTGATTTGTGGCTCAAAGCATGATCAGATGAGGGCTCCACAAACTGCATGTTGTCCTCAAGAGACTGAGACATACTGGAATGGGATAATGAACACCGGTCGTGGCTGGAACCTTGGCTTCCTAGACTATGCAAACTACTAGATAACAGGGTGTGCTTTCGCCGGGGTGATAGTTCTACTGAATGACCTGACATTGCACCTGTCTCCTCTTCTGAATCTGTGCTTTCTCCTTCAGTAGGTTCTTCAAATTCCTCCCCACCGATCCTTTCCATTTCCAAACTGGAAGGATACATCTCTGCTCCAATTCCTGAGGCCAGCCCCGCTTTTATTCTATGAGCATGAGACTTCCTATGTTTATACAAATTGCTTTTAGTCTTAAAAGAAAAGCCACATGGAATGCAAGGGTACGGCCGCTCACCTGTGTGTGATCTGATATGTTTCTGGAGAACACTTGGCTTTGCACAAGGCCTACTGCAGTACTGACAAATGTATTTGCCTGGCTTCTGCGGTTTCTTCTCCTTCTTGTGCACTTCCTCAGTTTGTTTTAAGGAAACTTGGGAAGGTCGAGGGATATAGACTTTTTGAACGGATGGCATGTCCTCTCCAGGAAGGATTGGTGAATGGGAAGGTATGAGCTGGCTGTGATGAGAATGAAGCCCAGGTGACGAAAAAGAGCCAGAAGGACCCGGTCTTACTGGATCGACTAGCTGCCATGTGGGCCCTTCAAGGATCTGCTCTGGTTTTCCAGGAGACATAAATGCTGGTGACAGTGAATGCTGCTGAAGCTGTGAAACGTGGGGAGCGTGCTCCAAAGAGGAATGCTTGGGTTGCTTCTGACTTCCAATTTTCTCCTGAGATTCCTCTCTTGGAATTGGCAAGGAGCCAGAAAAGTGCTGCAGCGATCTGATATCAAGAAGAGGGGTTGCTTGTGAAGACGTAGAGCTGCCCTGATACGTAGAGGCAGATGAAATACTGGAGTGGAAAGCCTCTCCTTTGGTAAGCCTCTTTCTGGGACTTTCCTCAGCCTTTTTTGTGCTTTTCTGGCTTTGTTCAGGATCCATGACCTTAACAGGGTCTTTGAATGCTATTTTGGGCAGGTTTTGGCAGGCTTCATTTATGAATAATAAAGGTCTCCTCTGTAGATTCCCTGCTTTGCCTGCATTTGCTATGAAGCTGGAGCTACCAAGAGATGGTTGTTGATATAAGATTTTACTAAAGTATCACAAGTTGCTATTTGATTCAAAAAAATGTTTCAGGGTCAATAAAGTTCACATTGGTAATGCATGACAAACTACTTCAAAGAGAGAAAACTGTCCAAAACTTTTAGTCCAAATGTTTTCCTTGTGAACTTGGTTAAGGCTTTAAATCTTGCCATTTTATTTCAGTTGACAGTGGCAAGCCTTCAAAGTCAAGAAGCAACCCACAATGTGTCTCTTGTTTGTTATGCAAACCTTTGAAAACTTGAGACTTTAGTGCTCATCACATAATCATCGTTTTCCTTTACAAGGAAAATAACACTGAATGGTGTGTGTTCCCCGTGTCTTCCTGCTCTTCCACTTTTGAGTTCAAAGGCCTCGAAAAAGTATTCCCCACATTTCTGTAATCACATTAACCAAGACACAAATTACTGCAGCATTCATATTTCACCAATGAAATACTGTTATATTTTTATAGAGGATAACAAACATTCTATACAAAAGAAAATTCATAATAGTTCAACTAATTCTTACCATTTTTAACATTTTGAGTGACAATGCAAACCTAAATATTACTGCTGTGAAAACTCAGGGATCTACTCTCTCTTCAATACATGCGTACCCAGGCACTGTAACAGTAACTGAAGCTAGAGGGATACAAACAACTTGAAATCTAGTCACAGTATTTTTTAAAAAAATGAGTTAAAAGTCATTTCAGATCTTACACCTGCTTGACTTCTCCCACAACCCCTGCCAATTTTTATAGTTTTATAATCACATTTTCCTACCTAATTTAATGGACTATCCAAGAAAACCATGGAACTAAGTACATACAAAGTGTTACCAAATGCACCAAGTAAATACACTGAAAAACAGAGAACAATCTCTCTCCTTCTAAGTCTCTTAATGTTGCAATAATCTTAGGTGTCACTAGTAATAGCAGTACATAAAAAAAATCATACAGAATATGGTTTTCTTAAATTGCTTGTGTCCCTTTAAGTAAACTCCCTGAGTTTATCATTTTTTTCTAATAGATAATGACATGGAGACTTATTTTAGTGCTGCTCCTGTCAGATGCCCATATCTCAAATATGGGGTTGCTCACATTGGCACTGTGTGCGTAAATGCTAGGTTTATGGGCCTACCATTTTAACAACCCAGTGTGGGCTTGGGATGTCCTGTTTACATGACCACATTTGAAAACAGAATCCTTGACTGGTATACCACATTCTCAGATCAGTATACATTATCATAACTGTCATTCAACATCATCTTTGAGAACTACAGTGAGATTAAAATTCAGAACAGTAGGACACCTCACTTGTTTTTTTGTCATTACTCTAGGCACCTAAACAATATAATTGCCATGCTTTTCATATTCCTAGACATCTCTCATATCAATCAGACTCCAATATTTAGCTTGCTCTGTTGCTGACGGGCCATTGCCACTGCTCTCAGCCTCTCCAGTCCTCTTATAACCTGGCTGTAATTCACAATGTATTGATTTCCAAGGCATGGACTTATCTGCCAGGTGTGGGGGCACGTGGCAACAGTGAACGGCAACTCCCAGAAAGAATCTTTGGAATTTCAGCACCCTGCAATGGATACCTGTACATGTCAGTATAAGAGAGGAACTTAGCTTTGTGAGCTTTCAGCATGTTAAAGGACTTAAAGGAATAATACAGCTGTTTTGGAGCATGTCTCTGAGACTCTCTCCAGTCACTGGAGTTAATTGCATTAACGGTATTATATCACTTTTTTTAAATCGTATGCATAGAGGTTACAGTTCTCTCCCATCTGCAATATCCTTATCTAGAGCATATTCTGAATATGGGGGCTGCAATTTTCAAACCTGAGTGCCTAAATTTAGTCACCAAAATAAAAAGTCTAATTTTCATTTCAAAGATGCTGAGCACCCATAACTCCAACTGAAGAAAGTGGGAGCTCAGCCCTCTGAAAATCAAGTGAATTGGTTATATAGGGCAACCCACTTACAGTGAACTTGGATATGAGACTCTGTTAACCTGTTGTGCCAGTCAACAAACAAAAGCTTTTAAGGAGAATAGGAGAGCTTCTTAGAGGGATGGAATGGAAGACAGCCAGTGTCTTGTGAGAAAAATTGGATTGTGTCTCTTAAGTAGGAACAACTGGCAAGTACAATGTTGTGACACACTGTACCTCAAAATAATACCCTGTATCAACCATATTCACCATTTTTATATGGGGTTATGATATATTTTGTACAAAGTATGCCTTGTGTGGTATCATTTGAAAAGTCATAATTTGCTGAACATTGTTGTCCTGTCAAAATTTGTGCATCAACATTGTATATGGAGATATGAGATTTTGTTATAGGTTTGTTCTTGAAACATACTGTGAGTCTGGGAAACACCCACAGACTAACCCCTCAGAGGTAACAAAGGACAGTAAATAAAGGCCTTGAATGTCAAGCTGCACATATATAGAAGGTGCAAGCAAGAATCTGCAATTCATATGAAGGAGTGATTGTAGGGCAGGTAGCCAATCGGACTGCCTAACCCCATGACACAGCAAGGATTGTTCCAGTACGAGGAGTTGGGATATAAGAAGGGAGAACACACAACACCCAAATTACCTCTCCTCCCCTCACCTCTACTCACAGAGCAAGATCGTTTGAAAGACAAAGAAGCATCATTGAACTAGAGGAATGGTCCCAGGCTGTAAGGGGATCCAGCCTGCAAACTAAGAACTATGCACTGTAAACTGCCTGCAGCATCTGGTGTGATGAGAAAGTTGTTTGCTTCAAATTTTACTTATCTTGGTAAAGTTTAGGAATTAGATTGTAATTTTATCATTTTATTTCCTTTTGTAACCAATTCTGACTTTTTATGCTTGTATCACTTATAATCACTTAAAATCTATCTTTCCATATGTGACATTATCAGACTGGAATATGACCACGCAAATCATTGTTTCTACCACTGTTATATAATTGCAACAAATCTTATACAAAGTATGATGCATGGCCTGAAAGGGTTAAGCATCCTGCAGGATAAAGGACCCAGATCCAAACTTTAGAGACATGTTAGAAAAGTATGTGAATGGTAATTAGGGCCATTCCATGGCAGACAGGCTAGAACTTTGAAATGCAAACCTATATTGTTAGACGTTAGAGGTGATATTAATTGTATGTGTGTACACATATCTTGTTAGAGGTTAAAAGTGTAGTCAAACAGTCCCTGTCTATGCTGTATTCTGTTACTTAAGAGATCAAAAGGAAATATTAACTTTTAAATTAATTGTAAATATAGTGATATCAATGTATTCACCTCTCTTTGAAATGTACAGCAAATCACCTGTGAGTGGTGGAAAACAGGCAATTGCCTTATGTTAATCCATGTAGCTAATTACTGGTGATGCTTAGGAAACAGGTCTACTTCAGAGTCTCTATGATTGCGTATTGTTCGCCTAAGGACTTCAAGCTGTCAAAAGAAGGCCTGAAACTGCATAAAAACTTTTGGGTCCCGATCCTTATCTCAGATCTGCTTGATGCTTCATGCAGTGAAGCTTAAGTCATAAGACTGAGATTTCCAGTCCTATCTGCATCACCCTGATTATGAACCTGATTATGGACTATAACCTATGGACTAATCCTGAAAGAATTCTTTGCAACTACAAAGCTCATCATCTCTACTATGAATCTGATCTCAGAACTGTACTCATGCCTGTATGTATTCTGATCTTTTAACCAATACTCTCTCTCTTTTCTTTTTTAATAAATTTTAGTTTAGTTAATAAGAATTGGCTGTAAGCGTGTATTTGGGTAAAATCTGGAATATTAATTAACCTGGGAGGTAATGTGTCCAATCCTTTGGGATTGGTAGAACTTTCTTATATGATGAATAAGATTTTCAGTAATCCTCATCATATTTGACTTGGGTGTGGGGGTTGAGGCCTGAGGCTGGGTGGCTTTAAGGGAACTGTGTTGTTGGCTTCTGGGTAACGAGCAAGGTATTATAGAAGCTGTTTTGTGCTGGCTTGGTAAATCTAAGGATTGGAATATCCACCAGCTTTGGGTATTGTCTGCCCCATTCTTTGTAGTTCACCCTAATTGAGTAACCTCAGCGCGGCTCCCCTGGGATCCCGGTCACACCATAGTTAATAAACTTGTTTTCATATTTTATCTCAACCAGTGTGTTTTTGGTTGAAGTGTCTGGGGGAATCCCTACTCAGGTTAACAAAGGTTGTGGCATGATAATTTGCTTTGATGAAATGACAAACTAATGAGCTTACACTGATCAAGAGGATCTTGAATAGTGTAACATACACATTTCTGGGGTGCAATGCTGGGGCTGGGAGATTTGCAGGTGTCCCAGTTCCTGAGTGGCTGGGAGAGCATTCATGTAACTTTGCTGGGTGTGCCTTTGCATGCTAATGGCTGTGCGTGAGCCTCAAGGTTAAGCACTGGAGTAAACTGCCTAGGGAGGTGATGGAATCTCCATCATTGGAGATTTTTAAGAGCAGGTTAGACAAACACCTGTCAGGGATGGTCTAGATAATACTTAGTCCTGCCATGAGCGCAGGGGACTGGACTAGATGACCTCTCAAGGTCCCTTCCAGTTCTATGATTCTATGAAGAGGGATCAATTGATTTAATAAAACATCTTAATCAAAATGCTGCTACTTAATAGTTTGATCCTGGCCAGATGGAACGCGTTGGTACGTGAGCATGAGGTAAATGGTGCTGAGCTGGATGAGGAATACAAGGAATCCCCATCCTGTGTTATGGAGAGTACTGCTCCACAGTCCCCAATTCACTACCGGAAATAACAGCAGTGAGGCTCAACAGGGGAACATGTTGCCTAGCTGATGGTTGTGTTTGACCATCCCATTGTCTCTGTGAGTGAGGCCCTGTCTCAACTAGAAAACAAAGGTGTTATTTTAAAAACCTGCCAGCTACCATTTTTAATTAATGGAGTTGAAAAATGTGGCAGCATCCTAGCATTCGTCACAACCAGCTGGCTTGTGCTGGAAAGGACCAAACGCTAGCCACACTAACTGCTGGCACATTTCTAAACACCGCTTACAGCGCATTAGCTAGCACATTTAAACAAAATCAAAATACCTTTCTTTCTAGTGTAGACAGGAGCTTCGTGAACCCGCGCTCAAAGGAACTTGAGACTTACTTCCTTTTGTCTACATGTGGATTCTGCTCAGTGCTCACGTTTGTCCTGGAGCTTCATGCCCTTCCACTATCTGCTGAGCACCTCGCGGACTTGCAACAGCAATCTAAAGAGGATGCCTTATCTTATTCACAAGTTTGTTGCTAAAAGGAGCAATTCATTATCGTTTTGAAACCTTCTTTTTAAATGGACCTGGCTGCCAGCGCATGTCTGACTAACACCAGCTAGGACCAGTCAGCTTGAGGCAGAACACTCATCATTTTTGGTAGCACTGATGATTAACTGCATGTCCTTGTCACGCTTGTCACAATATTAAGAATTACCCTGCTCTGGGCTCATTTCTAGACTTACACCAGTGCATTGTAGTTTCGACACAGCTGCCTCTCTGTGATGCCCTCATGCCAGCGGTAGTCTATGGAATAGAACATTAATTTAGCCACCAGCTTCTTGTCATATTTACATTTACGGTGCCCAGATGGATCATGGGAGTGTGAAAGGAGAACTTGGGATGTAACAGACCCAAGTCCCCAGATTCCAATGAAGAGAATCAACTTCAGTATCATTTCTCTGTTTTAGTTAACATTCTTCATCATGAACATGGTGCTACAAGATTACAAAATGTCCTGTAAATGAAGTGATAGTGTTACTTTTTGTTTAAAATCAGTGCTCTTTGCTCAGCACACCAGTAAGATAAGACAGAAGCGGTCTGGCATTTCTTTTCTTACGACTTTAGTTTGCTGGAAATGGATCTAAGCAGAGACGTTTTAAGAAAGCTGTGAGCTCTCTCTCTCTCTCTCTCTCTCTCTCACACACACACACACACAAGCTCAAACCCATGCATTAAAAACTGCCAGCTACAGCACTTTGCGATAAGCCAGAAAAAAGTCTGCATTTTGCTTTTTCCTATGGCCTCCATGATCACAACTCTGTGGACAATGACACCTTTATGATTTGGGGGAGGGCTTTGAGATGATTCGTTGTGTCAACCCAAACACGATCTCTAGCCTTCTCCAATGAAGAAGTCGATCCCAGCTGTTTCTGCTGGGATCTTTGCATGGTAGTTAACATTTAAAAAAAACCAATCAATTGACAACTCATCAAGTGTGGGCATTCTGGAGAAATTCAAGATACTTTCTATCTTTTTCTTCAGTTACTGAATGACTGTATCCAAAGTAGTTGGCAATGTTAACAGAACAAAAAAGTTCTAAAACCAATCCCCTTACCCCAGAATTATAATTCTCCAGGGAAAATACAATAAATAAAGGAACAAGAATAAATGTCATGAACCTAAAAGTAGGGGGCAAGGTTTTCCCCTGTGTCTGAACTCTGCTTGGCACAGGATAAAGTAGTGTGTGGGGTGCCTCTCAGGGGCTGGTTTTGGTTGTCTGACCCTCCACTCCCTAGCTCTGAGATAAGTTAGAGCAGCTGAGGAGCTGCTCTACATTATGCCAGTAGAGAAGAAATGTAGTGGAGTTCTGTTCCCCCATGTTCTCTTCTTCTGCCAACACGGCACTTATGCTGGAGGAGAAAAGGAGGTGGCTGGTGCAGGAGGTGGATATGCTGACTCTGACAACTTAACACCAGCAGAGCATTCCCATATACAAGGGAAATTCTCCACTGGCCACTTCTGGCCAGAATTTGGCTGCTTTGTACCCCCTGAGCAACGCAAAGTGGCCACAGGGGAAGGGGGAATCAGGCCAGATTTATTTTCTTGATTAGTCCCTTCTTCAAATTGCTGTCCCAAGCTCTTTCCATTCTCCAACATATACTGTCCATCTCCATGCCATTTTCTTTTTTATCCTGATCTTGCTGTACTATTCAATCTGTTTCGTATTAATTTTCTCCCCTCTCTTTCTTTGAAAAGCAGCCCCTCTTTTCCTCTCAGTCTTTTATATTCACCCCGAACTCTCTGTTCACCCCTCCGCTTCCTCCTGTGGTACATGGTCTATTACCCTTCACTCCCTTTGCGATTTCCCAACACTACTGCAAAGCAGAACACTGTGTTGCCACCACATCAACAGATCTTTAAAAAGATTCTGATCTGAAGACACCTACATCTTAGCTACTTTTGAATGTCTCTGGGGAAATACGAAAGACATTCAAGCTAGGGGTTTTGGTTGTTATTTTTATTCATTTCCAGTATCTGAAAAATGCCTGGCTGCATTAGAACTTTGTATCTCCCTAGATAGGTTTACTTGACCCCAAAACGGGTATATTTGAAGAGAAATCGGCTGCTTCATTAGCAGTGGCAAACACAAAGGGTGACGTTCTGTCCTCACTGAAGTCAATAACAAAATTCCCACTGACTTCAATGGGACCAAAATTCCACCCCGATTTTTTTACAAAATACTTATAAATGCTTTTTTAAACAGTCTCATTTATTGTTTGCATCCTACATTCCTGCATGTGCTGGAACTCAACCCTGTGCACAGGGCCAGTCACAAGGTCCATAAACCACTAAAAACTCATCCAAGCCTTCAAAATAGGGCTTAAGCAGGACTTGAGTCGTGCCTATGCCCAATGCTTGACCCCAGCACAGGGGAGAATGTCATCTTGTGTGTGTACTGCAACACACAGACAAGGTGCTTGTTATGTCACTTGGGGTGAGACCCACAGCATGAGGAGTGCTACAGGCTGTAATTCACAGCTGACTTGTGATCAGGATGAGAATTTCATTAAAAGTACCCTTAAAGGAGCCAGACCATTTTCTGCTGAGTTTGAGGAGTTTTGTTTTGCTTTATTTTTGTTTGTTTTGGGAGGGGTTTTTTTGTCCCCAAGTTTGTTTTGAAAAAGCGATTCTTGAAAACTTGCAACCCATGTTGTTTTATAAATTGTTTTCAGTTTAAACTGAAAGCCCTGATGAAACTTCTTCGTCAAAGTGACAAAACTCTGCTTTCAGGAACACCCCTAGAGAAGGAATTATTTTCTCATACATTAGGGTATGTTTCAATTAGAACAAGATCATCCTGCTTAGTCTGAAGTTCTTCCGGTGGAAACTCTGCCTCTGCTATATGTATTCTCACTGAGGAATCATAACAAACAATCTTTGGTTCTGAATGAAGTTCACAGAAGGTCAATGAGTTCTTTCCCCCTATATAACAAAATATACTGCAAGAGATCTTGTCTCTTTTTTTCCTGTGAAACATGGTAAGATATTTCCACTCAAAAACAATATACAAGCTATGAATAAAGCATATGGAGTTGTAAGTACAGTACTCTCTGCTTCCTATATTGTATGTTCCTGATAACTAGTTCTTGCCAATGGGTTTGAGTGACAGAAGATATGCTGCCATAGACCTTCAAAGAGAAATATTTGTGACCAAAACGGAATTATGATGTAACCAGTGATCTGCATGAGCATTAGCACAGCTTCGGTCATTATTTTTGGTAACTGGAGTCACTAATATAAGTTAAACAAGCTAATGTGATGTTGGATTAGTTACATTCTTGATAAGCTTATCTGGCAAATGTCTCTAGAAATATTGGAGCAAAGAGCTAAAGCAACCAACCAAATAGAAAAACAAGTCCTACTGTTTCAGTATGAAGGGCAGAATATATATTCGACTTATACCCACTTTAAATCATTAAAACAAAACAGAGATTACTTACAGTGGAACTGATTTTCTTTAATTTTGATGGGGTGCCTCCTTTTTTTGCTCAGGGTTTAATTCAGTCTGAAAAACAACACCACACTGTGATTATTAAACCAATATATTAAAATGCCATCTCAGCAGTGTTAGTGCAGGACTGACACCAGGTGCCCTGATGAGCAGTTTGCCTGGTAACAGAGAGAGTACACAAACCCAGTCCCAACAGGTGAAGGAGTCCTTAGCGGCTTGGTTAACCTCACTCGGCAGGTTCACTAAGATGGTGACATGCATGTTCATGAAAAGGACATCCCCAGGGTTATCCCTTCTGCCAGTGTGACAGCATGCAGGAAATCACAGGCTTGTTTACGTCAGCCACGTAGGCATCAGGCAGAGCACAGCTCTAGGTGGGTGCGGCAGAGCTGAAAGGAGCCTCAAAATTCAGATCTGGATTTCAACAATTCAGATCAAAGGTTCAGATTCCACAGCTCTTCCCCTAAACTGCTGAGATTGGGGTAGGAGGTGTTGTTTGAGCCCTTCTCAGGCTCTGAGTAAATTAAATGCAGTCCATTTCCAGGTGCGAAATGTGCTCTGCATTCAAATATAGAGATGTTTTCTTCCTAACTACCAGCACTAAAAATTCCCTCTGGAATTTGAGGTTCATTTCAGTCCTCACCAATAATATAAATATCTGCAGGCTAAATTCAGACCTCACAGACACCTGAGCAAATCCACTGCCATAGATGGCAGGTGAACTGCCGGCTTGGGGAGGCCAACCAGGCCTGCCCCTCCTGCCAGAGGCCTCTCCTCTCCCACCCCCTTCTCCTGCCAGAGCCCAGAGCCTCCTCCCTCTCTGTGGCCACCAGCCCCTCCACCCCCGCCCCCGCCCCAGCCCCCAAGCACTGGGCAGGTGGGTAGCGTGCAGCCCCCTGAGTGCCAGACAGGCAGGTGGGTGGTGTGCGCCCCCCACCCCCAAATGCTGGGCAGACCATGTGGCCCCCAGCCTCAGCACCCTCAGCCCCTCCCCGAGCACAGGGTGGGCAGCCCCAGCACTTGCAGCCTCCCCCACAGCACCAGGCAGTGTGGCCCCAGCATCTGGGGAGCCCCCCAGTGCTGGGTGGCCCCAGCCACCCCAAGTCCCAGCCGCAGGCCTGCTGTGGCCGTCCTACCCTCAGCCCGCTTCCCAACTGGAAGATGAGCAGCCTTCCTGGGCTGGAGTCAAGGGGGAAGGGCAAGCGGGAGGGGGCCTGGGGCGGAGCGTGGGCAGGGCCATGCTGGGCTGTTTGGGGAGGCAAAGCCTCCCACAGCCTACAATATGCACTTCCCATGCCCACTGCCCTCAACTTGTGCCGTCAGTTGCACTGCACAACCAAATGTCTTCAAGAGAGTGGAATTTCATCCTGCAACTGGAGTTTCATTTATACAATTATAAACTATGCCCGAGTCAGAATGAAATACAGGGCCCTCTCCCATAGTTGTGCTGGTTCTGTTAATAACATTTGTTTTTGGCAAGCAGCACACAGTACTCACACAGCTCTAAGAACTGATTTTTCACTTCGCTGGCAGTGTAGTGACAAAACGTCATCTGATGATACTGCACTTGTGATACTGGGCCACCATGAGGCAGCTGTCCCTAGCCTACAATACAGCACATTGGCCCATCACTCACTGTGCTGTTGAATAGAATGTCTGAGGATAGGAACTCAGTTTTTTTATTTATTTAATAACATTTTAATTTCCAGCTAAATTACAATAGATGCTAATGAAGACAATGGCTGATAAAGTCTTGAATAAGGATCAATGCATACAAGTGCTGTGCTGACTTCTCCCACACTGTTCTACCAATGCACATTAATCTGGACCTCCAGATATTCCATTCCCCCCACACACATCCTGCTCTGCTAATTCAGTGCATACCAGATATGCAGCTTCCCTGATATTTCATTCCTTAGTCCCCCAACCATGCTGCCAATGCTCAGTCCTCAAAATGCTAAGGCTTGATATCCTCTTTTGTGGGCGAAATTTGCACTTACAAAATTTGCAATCACATTTTTGCGCTCTTGAAACGACCTGTGGGAGCAAGCCAGAGGACTTTGAACCAGCAGTCAGGTAGTTAGATTTGTGAGTAGTTAGGGAAAGTTAGCGCTCACCAAAGGGTGGCCACTTTAGAAATTTGGCCCTAAAGATCCTTTTCATAGAATCATAGAATATCAGGGTTGGAAGGGACCTCAGGAGGTCATCTAGTCCAACCCCCTGCTCAAAGCAGGACCAATCCCCAATTAAATCATCCCAGCCAGGGCTTTGTCAAGCCTGACCTTAAAAACTTCTAAGGAAGGAGATTCCACTACCTCCCTAGGTAACGCATTCCAGTGTTTCACCACCCTCCTAGTGAAAAACTTTATCCTAATATCCAACCTAAACCTCCCCCACTGCAACTTGAGTGTGGATCTGTGGATCTAGGTTAGGTGCCTAGCTCCACACAGAATAGCCAGGGAGGTCCCAAGGATACTCCAAAATCCCTAACAGTATGAGACAAAATCTAACAGACCAACTTCAAAAATGATTTATAAAATCAACACCTAGCTGTATGAAACGGGTTCCCATTTGGCAGCTCAGAACTGTAACAGTGGAGTTTTGGTTATATCACAAGTAAAAATGAGTTTGGTGGTTTACACAGCACTCTTTTAAACACTAAAATCAACACAAAATCTGTCCTGATCAGCACTCTATTGGCATGAGTTGCAGTGCCTCAACATTGCTTGTGGCTGAGCAGCGTCAGCAGCACTGGGAGGCAGGAGAGGGAGTGCTGGGCTGAAATAGAGGGTGTGTCCTACCAGGGTGACAGTCTCCCAGCATTTATTCTCACATTGGAAATCCCCAAAACAGAGGCTGAACAATAAAATGAACTCAGCACAGGAAATAAATTACTTTGAATATTCCTCCAATTTACAAATTAATTTAAACACTTTTTGTTAACACATGATTCTAGTTGACAGAGGGTCGCTTTTTTTAAAGTCAAAATGTAAAGACAGCATCAACTGTTGCAACAAATGCACCTTCAAGGAGCTCCCACATTTTTATAAATAAATAAAACTTTATACCACATTTTAATTCTTAAATAATGGCCCACAAACAATACGGCACGGACATTGTGACTTGCATCTACTGTGCCTCAGTTTACCAAATCCTGAAAATAAAATCACAGCTCTAGTCTCTCCCTCACATACTGTGCCATAGCAAAGGAATGCCATTTACTTCTTTACATAGTGGCTTTTCCACTAAAGAGTTCAAAGCACCGGATAAATATTAATGAAGCTCCACAGCAAACTCTCTTGTGCAGCTAACTATCCTTGTCTCGATTTTACAGACACAGAACGATTGGGCCCACGGTCACACAGCGAGTCGGGGGAAAGTGAACTTAGAAATCACCACACTGTGCTTTAACCATGAGACCTTGCTCCCTCCATGTCTGACTGCTAATGACAATGCTACTTGCATAGCACAAGCCACTGGCTTTTTAGCTTGTGTTCTCAGTCTAGGCTACAGATATCCTAAGACCATTAACCGAATGCTTACCCTTCTTAACAGAGCCACACAAATTTATAAAGTGTATCTACTATTCACAGGCAGCTATTCACTTAAAAGTCCAGAAGCGAGTTATTATGTAAACTAAATTGAATGTTATACTGAACCAAGTGGCCTCCTTTCACCTGAAGTTTGAGGTCACAGGCCACAGGAGAACGGTATTTTTTCCACCTTCACCCTTTGCTTTCTAGTTTTACTATAAAATTGAAAATAGGCAAACTGAAGACTCATGGGAGCCCGGAGCATCGGAAGTACGCAGCAGGAACAGGCGTGGTGCTACAGTGGCTGAGTGTGTTAGTCTTTCACCTTTGGAAATCCAAGTCCAAGCCTTGGTTATATCACAAGTAAAAATGAGTTTGGTGGGTCACCCCAAAATCTGGCCCAGATCAGCACTCGGTGGACATGACTTGCAATGCCTCAGGCTATGTCTACCCTTGCAGAGTTTTTGTGCTGTCAGTTTCAATGGCGATAGTGAACTGGTGAAAGAAAAGCGCTGGTTTCTGTACTCACTTACTTCCACAGGCATCAGATCGTGTTCACCTTTGCAGCACTTCCATCCCTGATGAGAGCAGAGCACTGAGGGCAGCTATCCCACAGTGTAGCTCGCTCCATTTTGACAATAGGTCTTGTGGGAAGGTGGGGGGGAGGGTGTTTGCGGGGCACCCTGGGTCCCTGCACAGCCCCCTCTCCCCAAACACTGATCAGCTCCAGGAGCTCAGCTTTGCTCCACGCAAGGGATCGTTTGCTCCATGGAGCAGCCATTGTCACCTGGCCAGATGACACATGAGCACTTGCCAAGACAACAGGAAGGGGAGTTTCAAAGTTCCTAAGGCTTTACAGGGGGAGGAGTGGACGTCTGTTTACCTGGCATCAGAACAGCAGAGCTGCAGGCCACAGTGGTCACCTCGGCACTGTGGGATATCCTGCGGAGGCTAAAAGCGCTGTAAACAGGAAGAACGTGTCTTCACTTGCACATCACCGCAAAAGTATCACCGGTAAGAGCCGTACACCTCTCATGGAGGTGGTTTCCTTTTTGCAGTGTCATTGGCAAGTGTAGACACTCCCACAGTTTTCGTGCAAAAAAAGGGACTTTTTCTGCTTTAAATGGCAAGTGTAGACATGCCCTGAGTAATGCTCAAGACTGGGCAGCATCAACAGCACTGGGAGGCAGCGGGGTAGGGGTAGGGGGGTCCAGGACTGAAACAGCAGGGTGTTTCTGATCAGGTTGACAGCGCATTGATAATGCTGAGTGTGGCACATACATGGCCCATGCTTCCAATCACGCTTAATTTTGATCTAAGTTCTATGCTTCTGCAGCACCTAAACTTGGAATGGTTTATGGAGTTTGAGATACATTGCTCCAGGTATTGCCAGACTCGGTAATTTGAAGAGGAGTACTTGTGGCACCTTAGAGACTAACCAATTTATTTGTAATTTGTGACTGCAGAAGTTATCAGTAGAAAAAGGGCTGGGGCAATATGATGTATATTTTTGTGTCCTGC